GGAAAGCTACTGCTGGCTGTACCTGAGGGAGAGCGATGGGCCTAGCGGGACCACAGGCGGCACACATGCACACGCACCTGCATTGCTTAGGACTGCAGGCTGCCGTCTCCTCTCCCCCAGCAGCCTAGGCAAGCCGACCGTTGCCAGGACACAGTGGGACCCGAGAGAAAGACTCCAAAGTGTCAGAATCAGGCCAGGGAAGCAGCCATCAGTGTCCCAGAGGGTCCCTGAGCACACCCCCAGTCTCTGAAGCCCTTCAGAGCAACACGTGACCTGGTGTGCCAGAGCCAAGTGACCGACCATGCAAGACCCTTACCACAGACCTTTCAGGGGCCACCTGACAGGAAGGACAGTCTTTTGTCCCTTTGTCTCTTTCCTCCAGGCCCCAAAGCAGGTCACGACCCACCGGCTGAGAACCCCCAATCACCAACGAACAGTCCTGGCCACCTGGCAGTCTTTGGAGGGATCAGGGTAGGCTTCAGGTGGGGACATAATGACCCCCGCCTCCAGGACCACATGCTGGGCCTTTCCCTTCACAAGCCACACTCACCAAAGCCACCTGGGGCCCAGCTGCTTCCCACAGACCTGGGGAACTCGGGCTGCACCAGCCTGGATGGCTACCCCGACACACACACAACCTGCCCTGTCAATCATCATGCACAGCAACCACCTCCACCGGCAAAGGCCAGCCCCAAGCATCTGGCCACTCTGGGCTGGTTACACCCCCTGCCCGCCCTGGCTGGGTCGTCAGGCGGCTCTGCCTGGACTCTGTTGAAGGAGCGTCCTGTCCTGCGAGCCAGGCCCAGAACACAAAGCTCCCACTCAGCTCTCCCGAAAACTCCCGCAGAATCCTGGCCTTCCCCTGCATCTGGAACCATAATCTGCATCACACAGGTGCCTCTCTCTCCTCTGGAGCCTACAGAGTAACCCCGCTGTGACGGGGGGAGCACACGTGAGAACTTTCACGCTGCCACAGTGTCACAGAAAGTAAATCTTGCCCGCAAGGCCCAAGAGGTTCCTTTGCCTCTGTTGCTGCCATGGCCACCAGCCCCCACACTCCTCGCCTCCTCCACCTCCGTGCGCACCCTGGCGGCCTCTTCATTAACTCACTCACTCAGTAATGGCTTCCCGAGCACCTGCTGTGTGCTTTACCTGCCACGAACTCGAGAGACCTCGGGGAAGCCGAGCCCTGCACAAGAGAGACAGTTGCTTAAGCAACGAACACACGGGTACCTGACGCCAGGTGCCGCTGCCCGGTCACTGCCCACAGTGCCAGCTCTCACCTTTGTGGCCCTGCGGTTGGCCAGGTCACCTGGCGCATCCCGCTTGACGAGTTGGGAGCAGGGAATGCATGTTGCCTCTGGGCCAGAGCATGGCATCGGGACACACCCCACAGTATATGTAATCCCCTGCTGCGGTCACCAGCAAGGTTCCAGCCTGATGGGGCTCCTGAGACGGGACCGAGTGCTAACCAATCCACGGGGCGTGTGGCTTAGCAATTACTAAGCCTATGTTCTTCAAATCCCAGAGGTTTCCCAGAGTGGCCGAAGCGTCGCCTCTCTGGTGCTGACTGGTACAGGCGGCAGGACTGGTTGTTACCGAAGCATCGCCTCCTGGTGCTGATTGGTACAGTCAACGGTGACTGTCCAAGTCTCAGACATTAGTAATGGCTCTCCAACTCAGAACTTGAATGTATCAGGTTGATACGTATCCCACTCCTCGGGCTAGTAGGGGACCTGCTAGACTGAACCAGATTCCTTCAGGTACACGCAGCTCATGGACAGCATCAGAGCCAACACTGATTAGACGCCTACCATATACCTACTGTCCTAAGTGGGCTTCTAAGCTTGACACCCTCAGTTTTATACTATGTAAGAGGACCTATTTAATCTTCATTTATCTAAAACAATACAGGAAGGTTAAGTTACTTATCTAAGGTCACACAGCTCTTGACTGGCTGGGGCAGGATTTGAACCCAAAGAGGCTTGCTCCAGAAACTACACCAGTAACTGCTATGTAGAAACCTCAGTTTCCTCCGTGCAGCATGTGCCTACACACATTTATCCACACACACAACACGCAGGTAACCTGGAGAATCTGAGGCTGGGGCTGGAGAAATGGCTTAGCAATTAAGAGCACTGGGCCTTCCTTGCAGAGGAGCCAGGCCCGGTTCCCAGCACCCACATGGTGGCCCACAACTACCTGTAACTCAGTTCCAGGGGATATAGCACCCTCTTCTGGCCTCCATGGGCACTGCACACGTGTGGTGCACAGACACACATGCAGTACACTAAAAAGACTAAAAATTAATTAATTAATAAAGTTAAGTAGAAACTGAGGGTTCCCATAGCCTCCAGCGACAAGTGGCTGCCTGCGTCTGCCACCACGCAGAGAGTGGGCGCAGCAGAGAGAAGCCACGCGCCTCTACTGCCCAGCATTCTACGGGCTGAAGTGGTCCATCTGTCTCTAACACAAAGGACAGGGTGAGGCTGGCCCCGGGCCCCAGAGGGCTGTACAAATGGCCTGCTTTGAGCAGCAGCTAATTCCTAAACGTAATTATTAATTTCATGCTTATCGAATTCAAACCTCTGCTTCCCAGACGAGATGAAATTGATTTAATTAGAAATTCCATCATCGAGCCATTTGGATCTGAGCTTTTAATTAGGATCACCGGCAGCACCCCACCCCCAGGCTGCCAGAGGGGCTCCTGCCTGAGACTGAACTCTAGGAGGACACAGGCCTGACAGCAGTGTGTGGGCACCTCTCCAGCTGCTAGTGTCCCACAGGCCAGGACAGCAGCTGTCACCAGGACACTGTCCCTCCCAGTCCAGCCCAAGCCCCCGGTGGGAACCATCTTCTTTACTTGTCTGTTGCTCTGATAAGACACCATGACCAAGGCAGCCCGAGAAGGGTTTATTTGGGGCTCAGAGCTTCAGAGGGCGAGTCCGTAACTGTCCTAGATGTGAGCATGGCAGCAGCCAGGCAGGCATGATGTTGGAACATGAGGCAGAGAGCTAACTGGGAATGGGTTGGGCTTTTGGGGTGGCAATTTGAGACAGGGTTTCCCTGAGTAGACCTGACTGCCCTGGAACTCACTCTGTAGACCAGGCTGGCCTCAAACTGGCCACCTGCCTCTGCCACCCAAGTGCTACAATTAAAAGCATGTGTCACCACCACCTGGTTTAATGACTTGGGCTTTTAAAAATCTCAAAGACCACTCCAGTGACATGTCTACTCCAACAAGGCTACGACTCCAAGTCCATCTCAAATAGTTCCACCAAGTATTCAAATGTGTGAGCCTATGGGAACCATTCACATCAAACTCCCACAGTAGCATACCGAGGAAAAGGCTAGGCAAGAGTTGACGCCATCCATACACCTTCAATCCCAGCACTTGGGAAGCCCAGGGAGGTGGGTCTCTGTGGGTCCAAGACCAGCCTGGTCTATATAGTGAGTTCCAGGACAACTAGGGGCACACAGAGAAACTCTGTGTCAAGGAAAAAAAGTTGCTGGGTGTTGGTGGCACACGCCTTTAATCCCAGCACTCGGGAGGCAGAGCTAGGCAGATCTCTGTGAGTTTGAAACCGGCCTGGTCTACAGAGTGAGTTCCAGGACAGCCTCCAAAGCACCACAGAGAAACCCTGTCTCGAAAAAAAAAAAGAAAGAAAAGAAAAAGAAAAAAAAAATAGTTGACACTAGGGTGCTGAGTGCTCAGAGAGGTCTCAAGCCCCATATTCCCAAGACTGCCCAGCCATCTTCCTCTCCGAGTCACGCCAGGTGCCCATGAAGTGCCCTGTCTAGCTCAGTGCAAGGCAGTCTACCGGAGTAACTAACCTGGAGCATTGTCACACGCGTGACTCTGACCCCGTCTCTCACCACATCCGCCCTGGCCTCCCAGCAGTCCCTGCCATGCCAGCCTCCCACTACACCTTGGGTGCCGGGGTCCCCTGCACTCCAAGCTTTTGTACTGCCGCTGGACACCTTTCCTGGAGCAGTGAGTGTGGCCTGCCTGCCCTGTCAGTCCCCATTTGTGGCAGAGCCAGGCTGCCTCTGAGTCCTCACTCTGCCCGATGCCCAGCCAGGGCCGGCTGACACGTCTGCAGGAAGGGGCTGCCTACGGCTGCACCACATGAGGACATGGCTACTGCCCGCCTCCCAGGACGCCCCTTGCCTCCTTGTCTCTCTGATTCCACAGTGACACCCTGCCTCCACTCTGGCTGCCCAGCGTCCTATCGAGACACGAAACTGGCACTTGGACTAATTTCCTCTTCTGGATTGTTTTCCTGGAGGGAACCGGGCGGCACAGGCGCCGGGTGCTGGACAGACACGTCCCCGGAAGGCTCAGTCCCTGCCTACCCTTTAAGCACTGCATGTTTTCACAAGGGCCCGGCTCACACCCCCACCCGGAGGCGGGGAGCTGGAGAAGAATGGGGAGGAGGCCTCCTGGCTCGCCTGGCTTCGGCTGACAAAGGAGCCTCGCTGGTGGCTGGTGCGTTGGAGGCAGGGCCTGGAGACAGATAAGAGTGTTGGGGCTGGCAGGGAGCGGGCCCGGGCCAGGAGCAAACAAGATCCTCAAATCAGCACTTGTCCTACTTCATAAGCAAAATGTAGATCAATAAATTACACTCACTTTAGCCGGGCTCGCATGCTGACTGCGCCACCTTGTCGGTGGCAATCTTGGGGGAGGCGGTGGCAGCCGAGGCCTGGGTGGGGAGGGCTGGAGCCAAGCTTGGCACCCCCGGGGCCACAGCTCCTGTGCTATGTGCAGGGAGCTAAAACCAAGCTCCCAGAGGTAAGACGCAGGTCGCTAGGTAACTGAGCCATCTCCCGGAGCCTCAGTCTTCTTGTTGGTGAAGTGGGCATCATGATGAGAACCAGGTACTCATGGAGGTCGTGATGAGGGGCATTCGGAAGGACGGGTAGGATAGAAGCTGGGGAGAGGGGAGGCCCTAGATGTCACAGCCATCGTCCTGTCTGGGTGCAGATGGCAGACTGCAGGACCTCTCTTCTCTCTCGTTCTAATCCTCAACACAAACAGAAGAAAGAAGGCCCCGCCCAGCTTAGAGAAGAGGAAGGGCTCACCCAGGTCACCGGTCACACCAGGACTCCAGAGCCTGGACTAGGAGTGGGGGAAAGAGGAAGAGCAGGAGGAAGGACCGGGAGATGATGTTGTCTGAACCGGCCCTGGCAACCCTGTGAACAGGTGAGCGGGGGAGGGTGTTTGAGCTGACCAAGTCTGAGGGTCAGTGATAACACCGCCTGTCCGGTGCCCGCCCCCAGGGACTGTACCCTTTCATCTTCACACGATAAGAACACTGTTTGCTACTTCATTTTTCAAATGAGCAGATATGTCCTGAGGTTGGACAGCAATTGTAAGACAGGATTTGAACCCAGGTCTGTCTGGCTTCTCCTGAGTGTTCTCAGCCCCAGCCCCTACCTGGCACTGTCCTGTGTTCACACACGGCTCCCAGCCCCTCACTCACACTGTCTCTGAGCTGAGAGGCAGCCTGAACGAGGGTCAGGATTGTTCCTGCCGCTTCCCCTGCTCACCCGCCCAGCATTCGGCTTCATACCGCTGCACCTGCCCTGTTTAGGGAGAATTTAATGATCTGCCTGGCTCTCAGCCAGAACAGAGGGAGGGGCCTCTGCAGTAAGCAGGGGCTCGTGAAAACTTCTCCCAAGCCTGGCGACCCTCCATGGGCTGCAGGAGTTGGGGCAGGGCCAGGAGGACCTCTTGGTTCAATGCCCAGAGTGGTTGCCGTTGCACGGATACCCTGAGGTCCACTTAGCAACAGAGCCCAAGTGGTGGGGGCGTGGCTGGCCTTCAAGGAAATGATCCGCTGTGTGCCCGCCACTCTCCCGAGTCGGGCAGACGCGCTGCGCGTGTGTGTGATGGACTGCACTGTATTAATATAAGATGATATAATGGGGTGTATTAACATCATTGAACACACGAGATGATAAAAGTCACACCACCAACACTTCCTGTGATTTATAGCCACAGCCAGGCCATATTCAGACCAGCCAGGCAGGAAGAGGAAGCCCCACTGGGACTCTGGGGTTTGTCTGGGAGGAGGGGGGCAGCCAGAGGCAGGAAAAAGCCAGCAGGCGCAGCCGTGGGGTGTCCGGCCAGGTGCCAGCTGTGCCAGGCAGCCCTCCCCAAACTGGCTGCCGTCGTGGTGCTTGTCCTCGCCATGGCATTTGACTTGTGTGGTCTCCTCCTTGCTCGGTGCCACACCTCCTCAGGTGACACAGCCTCCTCAGGTGACACAGCCTCCTCAGGTGACACACCTCCTCAGGTGACACACCTCCTTTTCCTGCCTCAGTCCTGCACCCCAGGACTCAGAGCGTGTGCACACACACACACACACACACACACACACACATACGCGCACGCACGCACGCACGCTGCCTGCCTCTGTGTTCACCTTGATCCCACCCAGCTGACCTCTCCTGGGGACACCGGTGAGTGGATGTGTCAGACTCGGGAGCTGCCTGGCCTAGAACAGCCACTGTGTCCTTCCTGCTGTTCAGGCCAAAGCAGCATCAAGACCCTGAGTCTGCCTCATTGCCCAAACCTGACTTACCATCATCAGGCGCTGCTGGCCTAATTCTGGAAACATCCAGAACCCACCTGCCACTCACCAACTCTTATCATGTGGCTCCTGCCACTCAGCCCCCTCCCCACTCACCCCCAAACACCTGCATGCCCACCTACAGCTAGAAGAACATAACGAAACCCCAAGCTAGCTCAGTTTCTCCTTCCTCAGGAGCTCAGCAGACCCCAAGGAATCTGTCCAGACCTGGTCTCTCTCTCCACCATACTCCCCAGCTGTACTTTCCAACACCCTAAGGCCTTTTACTGGAGTCCCCTCTAACCCCTTGTGACAGTACAGACTTCCCACAGGTTTGTGGACTGGGCACCTCCCGACTGGAATGCCAGACCCTGAAGAGAACCATTTTTTGATTTCTCTGTGCCTTTGGAGGCTGTCCTGGAACTCTCTCTGTAGACCAGGCTGGTCTGGAACTCACAGAGATCCGCCTGCCTCTGCCTCCCGAGTGCTGGGATTAAAGGTGTGCGCCACCACTGCCCGGCTGAAGAGAACCATTTCGTCTGCCTCTCTCCGCCTCCCGTAGCCCCAGGATGTAGACGGAGAACAGGAATGACTGTTGAGCAGGTGTACTGCTGCGGCCGAGAACAGGAATGACCACTACGGCAATCCACTTCACTCTTCTCCTAAGCATCAAGAGAAAAGTCCATACAGGGTCCACAAGATGGTTTAGCGGGTAAAGGCGCCTGCTGCGGGGCTGACAGCCTTTGTGATCCCTGAGAGCACACTGTGGAAGAGAGAACCCGCTCCCGTGAGTGCTCTGCTGGCCACTGCCGTGAGTGCTCTGCTGGCCACCGCTCCCGTGAGTGCTCTGCTGGCCACCGCTGCCGTGAGTGCTCTGCTGGCCACCGCTGCCGTGAGTGCTCTGCTGGCCACTGCCGTGAGTGCTCTGCTGGCCACCCCTGCCATGTGCTCTCAGGGCATCCATGCCTGTGGCCTTCCTTGCCAAACTCATTCTGTCATCAAAACTCGCTGCTGCCAGCCCTCCAAGGGGGACAGGTGCTGGCCCCGTCCCTCCAAGGGGTGCAGGGTCATGTTTAATGTCACCCAGGTGGTGAGTGGCTGAACCACCTGCACTTCTACTCCACGTGCCAGCAAAAATCTGCCACCTCCACAGGGAATAAACTCTGTCGCCTCTGAACTTCGCGGGACCTGGAAAGGAGGCGTCCACCAAGGGCCCTCAGCCCAGAAATGCCAAGGACGCTGCTTCCGCTGCTAGCAGCGGGTACATACGGAGTGGGCGTGCCCGGCCCACGGCTGCCAACCCCTCCACGGGTACCACTCAGTTCTGCCAGCACATTCCACATGGCCACCACGCCCCAGATCCTGGGACTTGGTCGAGGGCAGCACAAACCGTCTTCCGAGCGGAGGATGTGGCCACAAAGGGACTCACTTGTGAAGGCCCTGTGCAGCCCTTTTCCATGGCTCTGCTCTTCACATGGGTCCAGAGGTCACCGCCCAAGTCAAGCAGCATAACCTCATCGCAGACCTGTCCTCGAGGCCTGCCCTGCTGCAGCCGGCCGGCCACTGCTGTCTCCCTCATTAACCTGACGTGGCAGCAGCTGCTGAAATCGAGGCACCAAATGTGGAGGCATGGTCCCGCCACCTGGCCTCCCGCCAGGTCTGTGAGGGCCACCAGCACACGCTCAGAGTCTCGTCCAAATCGCGCAGAAGCGGGCAAGTGGTGCACACAGGCTCCACATGGCCTGTGCTGTGACGAGACACATCCTGCAGAGGGAGCCCCTTTTCACCCTGCAAGCCCCAAAATCATCACACAGTTTGAGAGGGTCCCTGAGGTCAGCTCAAGAAGCAGAGCTAGCTTACAGGGCCTGCCACACACAGCAGGCGCAGCAAGGCCTCCCGGTGACGACAGACAGTGGTCACTTTCAGGGGACAATCACAGGAGAGCAAGAGCTTGAATACGGTGTGACTGAGATCCCAGCACTCGGGCTGAGACAGGCGCATCATGTGTTTGAGGCCAGCGTGAGATACATAGTCATCTCCCGTCTCAAATGACAAGAGTCCTACAGCTTAGTGCTAAGTGACTGCTTACAGGTGTAGGGGATTTAGCTCAACGGTAGAGCACTTGCCTAGCATGAGCAAGGTCCTGGGTTCAATTCCTAGAGGCGGGGGTAGAGAAGGAGATAAGGAGGGAGGGAACGAGAGACTGAGGTCACAATTTCCCATCTCCCAGCAGGGGACAGCAAGAGAACTCAGAAGCAGGAGAGGGGTGTGTTCCAGCGGGTGGCTAGCTGAGTCAAAAGCCCGTGGGCAGGAGACAGCAGGTTGGAAGAGAACCAAGGGTGAGCTCTGGGGCAGCCCCAGGATGTGAAACCGTGTCCTGCCTCACCAGCCTCTTCTACATGAGGAACAAACAAGATGGAGAAGCCTCCATTCCTGCCCCAGGTCACCCTTAAACAACCATGGTAGAAAAGGGAGCCAGGACCCTCCCCGAGAGGACCACAGTCCTGCAGGGAAGAGGGGACGGCAATGTCTGTAATTTGTTTAAATAATCCTGCTGAACTGGAAGGAAATTAACAAATGAGAAACTAGCTCGAAATTAATCAAACTTCTCCCTGTCCATGTCCCCCGCCCAACGCTTTCTGTCTTAATGAAGGTTATTTATCCAACGAGCAATAAAACAGGGAATTAAATTAAACAGGCCCTCTGTTCCTTCCTCTCCCCGCCCCGGTGGGGGGGGGGGGGGAGGCAGTGGCCTTTCTATGGCTTTATAACTGCAGGCTGGTGACTATGGCAGTGACACCAGGCAGAAAGAGTCAGGACCCCAACTCACGTATCCCCTTGTCGTCTCTACAGCTCAGCCCAAACTAAAAACAGGTGGCAGGCAGGACCCCATTGCTGAGCACGGGGGGGGAGGGGGCTCATCAGGGTCCCTGATTCTCAGCTAGGTCAAGCATTCTCTGCCACACGGCCAGGGTACTGGCTTCCCCCTCACCTGAGTGTGTGCTTGAATGTCCCTTCCTGGAGATTTCCCTGACAGCCCTATTTTGTCCCCAGCAGACCCACACATCCCTCTTCCCTCATGACCTACCTCTGTCTAGGGACAGCAGCCACCTTCTCAAGGAAGCGACCTCCATGGACCCCCTCATCAGAGTCCAGGCCCTCACCTGCACCTTCCCCCACAGCTACCCATACCCTCCCTGTCACAGTGACCACGCAGGAGCATGTCACACCCCCTCAATCCAGGAAGGCCCAGTCCATTCGCTCGGCCCACCCACACCCCACACCCCTGCAAATGTGCTCCACATCTCCCTCCAGCTTGGAGCTCCATGAGATTTGCTCAGTCTGAGGAGAGCAGGGCAGACACAAGCCAGAGAATGTGCCACTGAGAGGGCCTCCATCTCCTGGTCACTGGCATCTCAGGCTGGTGTGAGGACACGGACCCTTAGGTACCACGTAACTGCTGCGTGTGGGAGCAGGTGGCCCACTAACCTTTCTTCCAGGGCGGCCTAGACAGAAACCACTGCTCTAAAGTCGAGAGTGCACAGCCGGGGTCCAGCCAGACACTGGCCCTATAGCAGCTCCGCCCCCCCACTCCTGGCCGTGTGTGTGTGTGTGTGTGTGTGTGTGTGTGTGTGTGTGTGTGTGTGTGCTCGCTCATGTGTGGCCACCCCCATGGGCGAGGACAGCAGGCACAACACAGCCACGGTTGAATTATTTATTCGTACATTGTTAGCACAGGAGAGAGAGCAACTGTGTCTCCAGGCTTCAATTAAAATATCAAGGCACCCACACCGTCTGCTAGCCACAGGACTCCCACTGTCACAGGCAGGAGAGGGCCTCCATCGGCAGCCGGCACCCCAGCCCTATGCTGAGTCCCTGTAACCTTGCCTCCCAGCACCACGGAGAGCATTCTGGGATCACCCTGGACTCAGCCCGAGGGCTGCTAAGACATTTCAACCCTCTCTCTCCCTCTAGGATCACTGAGTCAGTCATGATATTAAAGAGCCTTCCTTGTTTCCCAAAGAGCCTTGGCCCAGCCTTGATGTAGGGCTGATCTCTCTCTCTCTCTCTCTCTCTCTCTCTCTCTCTCTCTCTCTCTCTCTCTCTCTCTCTCTCTCTCTCTCTCTCTCTCCCCCCCCACTGGACCTCCCTGAAACCCTGCTGCATGAGGTTAGGGGGCAGGGACTCCAGAGGACACAACACACCAACTCTGGACACCAGAAGATGTAAATGACAAAGGCCAGGTTGTGACATTCCCTCCACCCAGGATGGTCACAGTCATTAAACTAAACAAATTTTTTTTTTTTGGTTTTTCGAGACAGGGTTTCTCTGTATTGTTTTGGAGCCTGTCCTGGAACTCACTCCGTAGACCAGGCTGGTCTCAAACTCACAGAGATCCTCCTGTCTCTGCCTCCCAAGTGCTGGGATTAAAGGCGTGCGTCAACAACGCCCGGCGCAATTTTTTATTTTAAGTGGCTCTTTATTATGGGTCTGTACTACTCCACTAAGCACGCAGAGACATGATTTAGATAATTCCTAATTTAGGTATTGTACCAGAATGAGCTTGGATCTCTGACCTTCCCATCTTCTGTTTTTTTTTTTGTTTTTTTGTTTTGTTTTGTTTTGTTTTTCGAGACAGGGTTTCTCTGTGGCTTTGGAGGCTGTCCTGGAACTAGCTCTTGTAGACCAGGCTGGCCTCGAACTCACAGAGATCCGCCTGCCTCTGCCTCCCAAGTGCTGGGATTAAAGGCGTGCGCCACCAATGCCCGGCCCCTTCCCATCTTCTGAACGCTGGGATCACAACCATGAAACATCACACCTGGTTTTTTAAGTGGTGCAGGGTGATGAATCCAGGCCTCATCCACGCCAAGCAACCACTCTACTGACCGAGCCACAGTCCTTAGAAGGGGACTTTGAAAAGGTAAAAATGAGAAGATGTGCCGGGCGATGGTGGCGCACGCCTTTAATCCCAGCATTCGGGAGGCAGAGACAGGCGGATCTCTGTGAGTTCGAGGCTGGGCTGGACCGATAGCCTCCGAAACAATACAGAGAAACCCTGTCTCGTAAAAACAAAAAACAAAAAAAAAAAGAGAAGATGCCACAGAGACGCGGACTTACACGCAGGTGGGCTTCTATGCCTTCATCACCCCAACAATGCCAGAGACCCCTGATTCTGGAGTGGAGATGCAGGTGGCGAGAACCAACGGAAACTCGGGTAGCCGTGGTCATAAACTAGCTGGATCACCCACCAGATTAGATTCACTAGCTCCAGGTTAGAAGGCGGGGCCCAGTGAGATGAGGGTGGGCGGGCTGAGAAAGGGCAGGGCATTGCTGCCTCGTGCCCAGGGAGAGAGCCCTTCGGGGAGAGTGTGCGCACGCTTTGCACGTGCGTGGATGTGTGTGGAAACCCAAGGGTGAAGTCGGGTGTCTTCCTCCATGGCGTTTCTGCCTGTTCCTTGAGGCAGGTCCTCTCAATCAAGCCCAGAGCTCACCAATAGCTCTTGGCAGCCAGCTTGCTCTGGGAGATCCTTGCCATAATGTTACCCAGAACTAATGTGAGTTTGGGGGATTTGAACTCTGATCCAAACGCTTAGATGGCTAGCACTTTAACCACTGAGCCATGCCCCAGCCTTGAGATGCTTCTCTTTTAACGTGCCTGGCATGGAACCCCAACTCCATTACTGAGATGCTGCATGCCTGAAATCAGTGCCGAGCGACTCCAGAGACCAGGGCTGCCCATCGGGATGGGGACAAGCCGGCCTCTGAGATGGGCCTCTGGACGCTGGAGAAATTTAAAACTGACGAGAGGGAAGCATCCCTTTGGAAAAATGGTGGACAGTTCCCCCTGAAGCTGACCTGCTCCTACAGCTCTGGAGCCAGCATTTCCAATGACACAGCAGTCTGGGGAAAGGAGCCTTTAAGTCCAATGAAAGACACATTTGTGGATATCCAGATCCACTGTAATCACGAGACCCAAACATCGGATTCACCCTGAATTTTCAGAAGCAGCAGGATGGACACGTGGGCTATTAATTATATAAATAAGGACACAGCCGAATAGCACAGAGCCATCAGAAAAGAGGGAGCTGCTTACATACCCTGTCCTATGAACAGATCTCACATAGCAGAAACCATGGATGGATCTCACACAGCAGAGGACACCATGGATGGATCTCACACAGAGGACACCATGGATGGATCTCACACAGCAGAGGACACCATGGATGGATCTCACACAGCAGAGGACACCATGGATGGATCTCACACAGCAGAGACTCCAGTCTGCATTTGCTGGGTGAAGCTTCGAGACAAGTCCAGCTGCAGATGACCCTTGTGGAGTGAGACATTGGCCAGCGGGACTGTGGGGAACTTCCTGGGCACTAAGGACGCTGTCATGAGGACCCTCCATGGACCTGCCTTCACACGGTACTGGGGTACTGCAATGTGTCTGGAAGTCACGCTTTACGGAAACAAGTCACACCCTAAGGTGTGAAGGAGGAGAAGGTATAGCTCTGCCTAATGGACCATCAGACACTGAGGCACTGGCAGTGGGGACAGGCCCCGGGGACCAAACAGGGAATGAGGGAACAGGGAGACGGGAGGGAGGAGCTGGAGGTGGGGTGCCTGGAAACATTAACCTAGTTCAAGAAGGCTCCCTGGGGGACTTCACTCCTCCCCACCTCTCCTGCCAACAAGCCACTCTGTCCTCAGCTCATCCCTCACGGCCAGCCTTAGGCCAGCCCCCGTTCCACAGGAGGAGCCGGCCATGTCCCTCCATTGCCAGACACCCTGCTCTACCTCCCAGACCCCACCTGCCATTTCTACCGCCATCCCACCCTCCCCAGAGCTCACCGGAGCACCTTCGAGACTAACTGCTCCCATGAGGTAAGTGCTCCTCCCAACCGCCTCCCCCAGCCACCCCAGTACCATTCTGTCACATTTCCAGACATGGCCAGAGGAGTAGCTTCCGAACCACACATCGAGTCGACTACCATGGGGGATTGAACCAAGAATGGCCAAGGCCCCAGTGGGTGATTATGCAGCCAGCAGACAGCATGTGTCCGTGACTAAGGACCTCAGAAAACTCTCACCAGCCTGGTTGTGCAAAACACTGTAACCACAGATGTACCTCAACCTGCTACATTAACAGAAGGCTCTGGGGAAATACACACATATCAGGCTGTTGTCACCTGGACGGGGAAACTGGCGACTTTTTTTTTGTCTCTTTTATTTTATGATTTTATGTATATGGGTGTTTTGTCTGCATAGACATCTGTACATGCCTGGCCAGGAGAGGGTGGTGGGTCCGTGTCCCCCCCCCCCCACACAGACGGCTGTGAGCTGCCATGTGTGTGCCGGGAATCAAGCCCAGGTCCTCTGGAAGAGCGGCCAGTGCTCTCAACCACTGAGACATCTCTGCAGCCCTTTCTTTGCCTCTTCATGTTGTATTTGTGCAAGCGTGCATGCGTGCACGCGTCAATGCCAGAGGCCAACATCAACCACTCTCCAGCATCTTTTTCGCGTTTTTAAGACTTTATTTTAGTTTATGTGTATAAGCGTCTGTGTTAGCCTACAAAGGCTAGAAGAGGGCATTCAAACCCCCTGCAACTGGAGTTCTGTAGGCGCTGGACTCAAACCTGGGTCTTCTGGGAGAGCAACCAGCACTCTCACCTACTGACCACCTCTCAAG